GAATAAAGTAGAAATATACGGAGGGTACCATTTAATAATCAAAATTTGGTGTCATTTTTGGTGAAACAGGAAGTGGCCAAAAACAATAATTGAATACGTCAATCGATCCTAATTTATGTCATCATACCAAATCTCGTTTTTTTATCTGAAAAAATAAAAAAGTTATAGGGGTGAACCGCTTTTGAGACGCACCCGGTATAGTATGAGCAATGGGGATAAAATAAAATTTAATCAATATTAATGTATTATTTTTTTTAATCAACTATTCTACAAGCTTTGTTGATTAATGATATAAAATACAGGATGGTCCAGTTGGATTAGAGACAAATAAATACACTATTGTAAAATAATTTTGTGTAGAAAATTTAATCCAAAAATGGTCATATTTCAAAAAACACTCGGTATGAACGATGACATGATATTTTTGAAATAGAAATTCAAATCTACTTTTCAAATAAAATTTACTGCATCACACAGGGTTGTTCACCACATACGACACGGAGTATTGTAGCTAAACGATGAGATTTTTACAAATTGTAAGTTTTGGGTTCGATGAAGGACTATTAGAGGTACAATTTAAAAATAATTCTACAAGATCGAGGGTGTCCCAAATAAGTAAAAAATATCAAAGTTGTATTTTTTTAAACGGAACACCCTGTATATTATTACATTTTTAGTTTCTACGATTAAAATAAAGGTAAATTTGATTAAGGTTTATTATACCTAAACCTTACCGTTTTTGAAATATTTTCAATTTTGTGAAATTGCAGTAAAAATTTTAAGGCTTCATTTCTCCAAGGGTATCAAAGTTTTTAATACTAAATATTTACTGAAGTTTATTTACTGATCAGTTATTGTGTGGCAATAATAAAAATAATACTACCTTATACAGAGTGTCTAAAATTTATTTTAAATAATTATTAGCTTCAAACGGCAATAACTTGTTTAATTTAAATGGAACACCCTGTATATTTTACGAGAATCAGATGCACAATTTAAATGTCTATCAAATTATATTATACCATTTTTTACCTATCTCTTTAAGTTTCCGTAGAAAATTTATTTTCTTGTAATTTAGAACTTATTTATCAATATATCCATGGACTATTGACATTTTAGATTATTTTTAAAGATGTATCAAATTTTTAAAGAGTACAGATACTAATATTGTCGATATAATTCGTTTATTTCATTAAAAAATAAAAAAAAACTGTTCAAATATTTGTTAAAGAGGACCAATTAATATGATCCAGTATTCAAACTACATTAACTGACTGTTTGCATTGATTAATAATAATTGCTCCAAATACTAAAAAACTGAATTTTGTATGGGCATTAGACAGTGTGATAAAAAGTAACACCTTAAAAATGATATTTCATTTTTTAATAAATGCTTATTTATAACAATAGAGACTTTAATTTGATAACTTATTATTATATTGATTTCTGACTCAAATCCACATTTATTTATAATAATTTATTAACAAACACAATTAAGTATGTAATTAATTAGTATATGGGCGGAAATAATGGTGTTATATTTAATTAATGGTTATATTCTTTTATAAAGATTTAAATAGTTTTCTTTTTGCATACAAATGGGCTAGTAATATTATCGTTTTGCTAAAAACGATAATATTACTAGTCTGTACATTTTGTACATTTGTTGCTTTAAAAACAATCTAAAATGTCAATATTCCATGGATATATTGATAAATGAGGTCTAAATTATAAGAAAATGCATTTTCTACGAAAACTTGAAGGGATAGGTAAAAAATGGTATAATACAATATAATGACAATTTAATTGTGCATCTGATTCTCCTAAAATATACAGGGCATTCCATTTAAATTAAAGAAGTTATTGCCGTTTGAAGTTAATAATTATTTAAAATAAATTTTTAGACACTCTGTATAAGATAGTATTATTTTTATTATTGCAACACAATAACCGACCAATAAATAAACTTCATTAAATATTTAGTATTAAAAACATTGATACCCTTGGAGAAATGAAGCTTTAAAATTTTGACTGCAATTTCACAAAATTGAAAATATTTCAAAAACGGTAAGGTTTAGGTATAATAAACCTTAATCAAATTTACCTTTATTTTAATCGTAGAAACTAAAAATGTAATAATATACAGGGTGTTCCATTTAAAAAAATACAACTTTGATATTTTTTATTTATTTGGGACACTCTGTATCTTGTAAAAATATTTTTAAATTGTAGCTCTAATAGTCCTTCAACGAACCCCAAACTTACAATTTGTAAAAATCTCATCGTTTAGCTACAATACTCCGTGTCGTATGTGGTGAACAACCCCTGTATATTTAAAAAACTACAACACTGGCTGGTGTAAAATATCTTTTATTCATTCAAAATATATTTGAAACACTGTCGCCCTGTTTTTCTTCTAATTTTCTAATGATAATAATAGCAAAAACTAACTTTTAAGTTTGTGATAAGACTATTAATATAATTTTAATTCTAATTTTTTTTGAGATTGTGGTTCATCATTTTGTCAAGAACAAATGCAAACACTGCTCTCACTGCTCTATTTGTTTTAATGATCATTAATAATTAAATTATTACGGTTATTAGCAGTAGTGTGAAAGGGCATTAACGTAGGCTTAATCCACACTATAAAATAAATATAGAATTTGTAAAGCCACCCACTCAGTATAGGCGACTTTGACTTGTGCAATCAACAACCTACTACAGCATCAAAGAAGAAAGTGGAACTTGCAATAGTTTTATCACGCAAACAACAATACAACAATACAGTTTACTTTAGCTTTTAATGCTAGGCGCCGGTTTATCTTTTATATCAACCGTTTTGTTTTACAGTGTTTGTGTGTGTGGTTTTATTTGGCGAAAATGGTTCAAAAATATTTGAACCGTCCTCGACCAGTAACAGACGAAGAAATACAATTAGCAAAAAGTGAGTCTCTAAGAACTTACCATGAATATTAACAAAAAATTCAAAATTTAAGTGAGGATGCAGTCAATAATGACCACATAGGCTCATAAAACTACTTTTTCAAATTTGTCAAGCTTTCGAGAATTTTATTCCCATCATCAGGACATTTTGACTGAGTCAATTAGCAAAAAAAATCCTTTGCACAAAAAGGCCTTAAAAACTAGCATCGTATAACATTGGACTACAAGGACATTTCCTTTATAAAATATTAAAATACATATCCAACGATATTACATTTCTTTTAAAACACAAACAAAAAGATTTTTTAAAACTTTTAATTTTTACATTGTTATTTCGAGCTCGATCAAACAGTGAATGAGTCCCTGTTTGACAGTCTGACTCAGTCAAACTGTCCTGATGATGGGAATAAAATTCTCGAAAGCTTGACAAATTTGAAAAAGTAGTTTTATTAGCCTATGTGATGATTATTGACTGCATCCTCACTTAAATTTTGAGTTTTTTCTTAACTTAGTCAGTCAGGACTAACCTGCTATTTATGAATATTAACTGTATTATCTCTAATGATTTTTTTAACTCTTATTGAATTAAATTTAATTATTAAATAACTATTATTAATAATAATATGTACAGACGACATTTCACTAAACAGAGATATAAACCACATAAAAAATATATTATACATATTCAGGGTGTCTCAGATTTTAATCGGGAAAATTTAATAGACGATAGAACTTGCAAAAATAAAACAAAAAGTTCATATCAACTTGTAAGATTTAAAGCTTCCTTTTCGAGATACAGGGTGTTAAAGTTACTTAAAAAAGAAAAAAAAAAGATATTTGAAAAACCCTTTAATCGATTTTGATATAACTTGACCCGTTTATAATACTTACTATGGGACTTAATTTGAGGTAATTAGATTTAAGTTTAATGTCCAGGGGCGGCGGTGGGGCATCACTGTTAAATTATTTTAAAGGAAAAAATAGGCACGCCACTGCTTTTTTAAAGTTTTAATGTTATTTTTGGATTTATTAATTACAAATATTATTTTTTTGTCTCTTGACTTTTTTGTCTGACTTGCTTACTTCTCGCGAAAAAACACTCCAGGATGGAGTGAATAAATTTATTTAAAATAATATTTTTAATTACTAAATCGAAAAATAATATTAAACTTCCAAAAAAGCAGTGGCGTGCCTATTTAACACCCTGTATCTCGAAAAGGAAGCTTTAAATCTTACTAGTTGATATGAACTTTTTGTTTTATTTTTGCAAGTTCTATCGTCTATTAAATTTTCCCGATTAAAATCTGAAACACCCTGTATACTTACTAGCGTGTACCCGCGACTTCGTTCGCGTCGAATTAATCACTTCTAATGGTTAATCATTTGTAATTGTGATGGTAAAGCAAAGCAAGGCAGTTTAAGCAGAATCGTGATTACTCAATGGTCATATTTTATGAAACACCCTGTATAAATTTTTAAAAAATCTTAAAATATATGTAAAACAACAAAATAAAATACACGGGTTTAAGAGTTTTTCCGAAAAACTCACCGGTTTTTAAATAAAAAATATTCTAATATTTCAGGGGTGGTTTCACCCCCTTAGAATTCGAGTTTCGAAAAATCCTCGATTTCGAACCTCTACACCCTAAAATCAATCCGTTTTCCAAAAATCAGCATTTTACGTCAAGCGCTTTAAGCAGGATCGTGATTTATCAATGACCAGATTTTTTGAAACACCCTGTATACATTTTTAAAAAATCTGAAAATATGTAAAAAACAAAATAAAATATACGTGTTTAAGCGTTTTTTTCGGAAACTTGACCGTTTTTTAAATAAAAAATATTGTAATGTTTGAGGGGTGGTTTCACCCCCTTGGAACTGGAATTTCGAAAAATCCCTTTTTATCGCAACTCTATATAACGACCACTCATCAAAATTGTATACCTGGCAATACCCAAAGCGTTCTGGGTCATAAATATTTCGCAGTTAACTTTTGAACATTTATTATATTGCGAATACGAGATAGACACATAAAAATCTAGATATTTTTTCAACAGGTCCCCAACTAAAGAAACGCTCAAAGATACCCATCTATATCGTAGAATACCACCACGAAGTCATACCTTTCATCTACAGAAACATCGGATCCAAACATTTACCATTGGAAGGCTCTATATTCGTCCATTTTGATTCACATCCAGACATGCTAATACCGAAAACCATGCCAGCAGATAAAGTTTACAACAAAGATGAGCTATTTGAGGAACTCAGCATAGAAAACTGGATAATGCCTGCCGTATATGCCGGGCATTTCGCTCATCTGGTATGGGTTAAACCACCGTGGGCTCAACAAATGAGTAATGGTTCACGTCAGTTTTCAATTGGTAAAGATAAAATCACCGGAACTATTAGGTTGGATTCTAAAGAAAACTACTTTGTTTCTGAAGGATTGTTTAAGCGTTGTAATGATCTGGAAAACATCAGAAATGCCCGTTTGGATGTTTTGACTTTAGGCAAACGCCTTATCGACGAAAGTGATGATATTAAGGATCTTAGAAGGATTTTACTTTATTTAGACCAACCATATATACTTGATATCGATTTAGATTTCTTTAGTACGAGTAATCCATTTTTAAATTTGTATAACAAGGCGAATATGTACGAGCAAGTAAAACAAATCTACAAATTTAGACCTCCAAAATCGGATAACGATGAAGATTTGAGAATATATACTGAAGAAAGAGAAAAACAACTGGAAAAGCTGGAAAACCTATTTAAGTCGATTCAGGAGAATAAAGATTTTCCTTTGGACGAGATCGATAATGATGATTCCGTTTTGAAAATTAAAATACTACGTGAAAAAATGCTGGAAAATTATAAAGAAGAAGAAATAGCTTGGGAATTGGTTCACGATGCGGGCTGCACGTGCGACGATTCTGATCTGCCTCATCACGTGTCTTCAGATGAAGATCTGGAAGTTATGTTTGATAGTTTCAAGTCATTTCTGGAAGAGTTGCCGACTTTGCCTGTTATTATTACGATATCTCGGTCGACGGTAGATGATTATACACCTGGAGAGGATGTGGAGCGTATCCAAGAAAAAGTATTGAGTTTATTGAAAGATAAATTTAATTGTAATGATCCCGTATTGAGTTATATCGATGAAAGTAATTCAGACAGTTAATGGACTTAGTGAGACTCAAAATTTGATTATATAGGGTGTCCCTTGAAAGTTTTACTCAATTTTTTAACGCATATTCCTTCAGTATTTGAGCTAGGGGAAGTATAAAGTATAATTTCATTTTTGTTTTTTGATAATTTACCTAATGGGAATATTATAATGTGGTCTTGGTGTTTTTTGACACAAGAAATTGTAATTGAAACTTTTAGTACTAATTTTCTTGTTCCGTCATGTTATTATTTTCATTTTTCTTGTATACCGGGTGCGTCTCAAAAGTGGCCCACCCCTGTAACTTTTTTATCTTTTGGATAAAAAAAACGAGATTTGGTATGTTAGTATATGACGCAAATTAGGATTGATCGGCGTATTGAATTGTTTTTGGTCATTTCCTGTTTCACCGGAAATGATAACAACAACCAGAATGGCACCTTTGGTATATTTTTACTTTATTCAATAGAAAATGGCGTTCTGAATAGAATGACGTATCATATGTCCACTTTTGACGTTTTCGCTTAAAAGAAAATCATATTTTAAATCTAGAGTGGCATGGCTGTGCTAAAAACACTAATTTTTAATCAAGGAGCCTTGGAAAAATAGATTTGATCGTCTAATCTTTTTCGTGTCTTGTCCAGGCCAGTTAAAAGATACCTAAATCGTATTTTTAATCATATCCCAATTTTTTCAAATGGAACAAGAGTGGCTCATTAGCATATTTGGAAAAAGCATTTTTTTACGAATAATTTTGTACCACGTACTTGGTATTTCGAGTCAAATTGTTGTTATGAACCGCATGTTACAGTTCCAAATAAACCATATGCGAAAATGTCAAAAGTTGACATATGATATATTATGTCATTCTATTCAGAGTGTCATTTTCTATCGAATAAAATAAAAAAATACCGCGGGTGTGATTTAAAAATCAAAAATTGTAGTAATTTCCGAGGAAACAGGAAGTGACCAAAAACAATTGAATACGTCAATCAATCCTAATTTATGTCATATACTAACATACCATATCTCGTTTTTTTATTTGCAAAAATAAAAAAGTTATAGGGGTGAGCCACTTTTGAGACGCACACGGTATTTCTGTATCACTTGTACCAGAAAAAGGTGTGTATATCTGTGTTGTAAATCGATTTAAGGAGAGCCCGTTTTCAGGATATTTGGATTAAATATTTTCAATTCTTGGGATGCATAATGTAATAATCGTATTTAATGATATTGATATAAGATTAAATCATGATTAATTGAATAAAAGTCTCTGTCAAAAATACACTCTGATATTTTTTGTTTTACAAAAAAAACATTTTTCTTAAAATTCTCTCTCGAAAACTAGCTTTTAGACTATATAAGCAAAACAACGAAATCGTTATGGAAATGAAAATATAAAATGACACAGTCACAAGCAAATCGTATATCCGATAAATGAAGGAAATGATGTTATGGATTTGATTTCAAATGGCAGGTGATTGTGCATTTTTTTCGAGTTGTATAATATTGAACTTTTAACTAACTCTGAGCGTGGGGTAGGTAGATAAAGATCTTGCTCCGCGTTCCTGAGTGGATAAGTGTGAGATGGCCTTTCTTGAGAAGCTGAGACATGCTTACGTATTAGGCAAACGGATTCAAATATAAATAAGGAAGGAAGAGTCAATATTTTTATTTTTTAAAAAAAGTCTTGACAATGAGTTCTGCTGTTTAGTCCCAGTGAATATCAACAGCTCTCTTCTGGAGCTTGAAAATGCGGTCAAATTGAGTCGCACAACACGTACCCCAGAATGGAAGGGCATATCTGAGGTGCGACTCAAAAAGTGCATAATGAACAGTTCTAGCCACTGACAAGTTGAGCTCCTTAGAAACAGATCTTAATGCAAAACAAGCAGAGCTCAATTTTTTCGACAAAGCTTCGATATGCATGTCCCATTTCAGAGAATTGTCTACAACAAGCCCTAAGAATTTTACAGATTTTACGACGTCAATGGTGGTGTTAAGTACAAAAGGCTGTAGCGAGTTTTTATACGACAAAGCTTTAGTTTTAGAAATGTTGAGACTCAGGAGGTTCGAATCGCACCAAGATTTAATGGTGCTTAAGTCATTTGATATAATCCTATGAAGTGCCGTTTATTCTCCTACATATTCCAGTAGTCAGAACACTATCAATCTCCGTCCTTTTTTTAAGTCAAGTCTCAATGAATTTTAGAATTCGAAACGAATATCTAGATAGGGTCACAAATTTTAATGTAAAATACGATACAGTGGCTGGCTGGTACTGAATAGGCTGTGGCAAGAGCGTTGCCGTAGGAAAGAGGGTATTAATAGAAAATCTTTTAAGGAGATTTTTTACAAATTTCTCAAAAACTTTCCCTTTGTGGCAATTTTTAAATATTTAGGGAGCAACTACCACTCCCTGTTCCCCCTTGGCAATACCCTTGGTCTGTAGTTAACAATATTGTTTAAAAATTAAAGTTAACAGAGTTATTTAAAATAATAAATCTCTAAAACAATGCAGAGTAATGAAAAGTGAACAGGCGGTAACAAAATTGAGTGAAAAAATAAGCAGAAATCGATTTGAAATTGGAATTTAAATTTAGATTTATTACCAATCCTACGCACATATGCTTGGTGTGTTCAATAGACACGTTATTATGATCTATTTACAAGCCCACTTGATTGATGTATGATATAATATGATCGGTCATTTTTCATTATTTGACATTGAATTTTAATCAGACTTCACCTGCTTCAATACATTTCTGTATTTCTTACTGAATTGTTAGAAACTTATATCGTCTTGGTTGGTTACATATAATAATTTTATTTTGTTTTAATTTTTTAAATAAAATACAGTGTGTTGGGGGCATATAAGAAACTTTATTTTATATAAGGATATGTATGAAATACCTATGAAACATTGGAAACCGACGTTATGTCACGATCCACGATTTTCATATTTTAAGTTTTCGATTCGATAGGCTATATATAGTAGGTACTTTTTTAAAAATTTAAGTCATATGGTTGGTTGTCAACCAGACCAATTATTTACTTGTTATTATTGATCTCGACTCAATTATTATAATTGCTCGATTATATTTTTGATTTTCCGTAGGTCGAAACCTTGATGGAGTCGTAAAACTAAAAAATATTCTTCTCCATAAATTCAACATTTGTCAGTTAATGATCCGGTTCGCGATCGTGTGGGTACGCTGTGATTTCGCGGCTGTGCGTTTTTCAAAAATTTATAGTTAGTTGCGTTAGGCAGTGTAAAATTTCAAAGCCATAGTTTCTTGCCAATGCTTCATACAGTAGAGATATCATAAAAAAATACTAGACCAGCAGAGGAATCATAGCACGATTTACTCTCTTTTATGAAAGGTCTGAAAGGTGATATCTGGGGCTATCGTTTTTATGATTCACGTACAACAAAAACAGCGATTAATCTTATAATATCTCTACAGTATCTCTACAGTAGCCAAATACGACGCGTTCGGAAAATATAGCCATTATACGGTGTAATCCGGAAAGGTAGTTGCGAATCAGATTTTTGAAATGGAGGAATGATAAAAAACTTCTGAATATATCTGTCTAGTTGTTTATTTCGGAATGCATGGAACAAGTGAATACGTTAATTATGTTCATTATGAAATGAAGGTTAAATCGATATTAGCATTGGGAATGTCGTTTTGTATACAAGGTGATGTTCGTATTATAATTGAACTGCCTTTCTTAATTTATTCGTAGAATCAATGGTTTGGTTAGGTATAAAAACTTTTTTGTCGAAACGAACCTATTATTGCCGTATCAGTTTTAATGTGCTCATGTTTTTGAACCATTCAAATAAATAAATTTGAGTAAACATCAAGTTAAGTGCTTATTTGTTCAAAGTTGATTGCAAATAATAGTGTTTTTCCAGCTTTTGTATAAAATTTTAAAGGAAGCTGTACTGGTTCAATATATTGGTAAATAAAAATCTTGTTCGCAAACTAGTAAAAGTCTTGTAGAAAGACCAAAATTAACAAAATAATTAACTCAAAATTTCTCACCTGTTATTTTTATAAGTTTACCATAGGCAACCAATAATACGCACTATCATGACAAGGCCACGAAGGCTTTGACAAGGGCTACAATGATGTCACAACTGTCAGCTGAAGCGCGGGAAGAGGCGAACGTTCGTCTTATGAGGATGAGCAATCCTATTAGTTCTTTTCTTGGGGGTGACCCACTTTTGAAACGCACCCGGTATACAGTGTCCACCATGAGAACATCTTTTTAATGAGCTTGTATTTCCTTTTTCGTGCAAATATAATTTTCGTGTTTCTGTTTCTACTTTAAGGATCCACCTTGTAAATTGTGTTTTCCAGCAAATAAGCGGTGTTTTTTTCATGTAAACCGCAATTTTCGCGACCTTGATTATAATTTCCAATCCCGCTCGAAAGCGTCGTCGTTTCAGGCTGGTCGTAATGCCATCTAGACACACAATACTCTAATAAAACATCATCCCGTATCGTCCCAACCCGACGACCAACCCATAATCCTCATCCGATCTCCCAACCCAATTAAGTTAATTGCGCAAGGTTAAAGGTGGTGTTTTCGATCGCGACGGCCAACGTACATAAACACACACACATGTGTATATCGTCCTCTATTCCGCAACTAGTTATTTTTAGTGTCGCGCCTGTTCTGCCAAAAAACACGTAACACCTCGTGCAACAGTTAGTCATATAGATCGGGAAGGAAGGCACCTTCCAGGATCATCCACGCGGCCTTTTGTTGTCGTTCCTGTTGGTCTTCTTGGGCGAATCCCATTCGCGGCCTAGTATCGCTGTTTTGCGTCGTGGTGGTGCGTTCAGACGAAAAAGATGAGTAGCAGCGCCAAGTTGCGCACGCGCACCCCGTCCCCGAAAACCGTGACTTTCGATCCTTCGCCTCCTACGACGCTGGAGAGGAGACCCAGGATTGCGGCGATGCGCTTCAAGTCCTTGGTCGAATGGGAACAATACCTTAGTGAGTAATACAAATGGGTTTCAGTTATTCATATAATAAACGTTTTTTGTAATTTTCATTACAATATTTTTAGGCCTGGCGCAAGTGGCTGTGCAAGCTGTACGTACTTATACAGGGTTGTTCACCACATACGACACGGAGTATTGTAGCTAAACGATGAGATTTTTACAAATTGTAAGTTTTGGGTTCGATGAAGGACTATTAGAGCTACAATTTAAAAATAATTTTACAAGATACAGAGTGTCCCAAATAAGTAAAAAATATCAAAGTTGTATTTTTTTAAATGGAACACCCTGTATATTATTACATTTTTAGTTTCTACGATTAAAATAAAGGTAAATTTGATTAAGATTTATTATACTTAAACCTTACCGTTTTTGAAATATTTTCAATTTTGTGAAATTGCAGTAAAAATTTTAAGGCTTCATTTCTCCAAGGGTATCAAAGTTTTTAATACTAAATATTTACTGAAGTTTATTTACTGATCAGTTATTTTGTTGCAATAATCAAAATAATACTACCTTATACAGAGTGTCTAAAAATTTATTTTAAATAATTATTAGCTTCAAACGGCAATAACTTGTTTAATTTAAATGGAACACCCTGTATATTTTACGAGAATCAGATGCACAATTTAATTGTCTATCAAATTATATCTACTATCTCTTTAAGTTTCCGTAGAAAATGCATTTTCTTGTAATTTAGAACTTATTTATCAATATACCCATGGACTATTGACATTTTAGATTATTTTTAAAGATGTACCAAATTTTTAAAGAGTACAGATACTAATATTGTCGATATAATTCGTTTATTTCATTAAAAAATAAAAAAAACTGTTTAAATATTTGTTAAAGAGAACCAATTAATATGATTCCAGTATTCAAACTACATTAACTGGCTGTTTGCGTTGATTAATAATAATTGCTCCAAGTACTAAAAAACTGAATTTTATATGGGCATTAGACAGTGTGATAAAAAGTAACACCTTAAAAATGATATTTCATTTTTTAATAAATGCTTATTTATAACAACAAAGACTTTAATTTGATAACTTATTATTATATTGATTTCTGACTCAAAAATCCACATTTATTTATAATAATTTATTAACGAACACAATTAAGTATGTCATTAATTAGTATATGGGCGGAAATAATGGTGTTATATTTAATTAATGGTATACTCTTTTATAAAGATTTAAATAGTTTTCTTTTTGCATACAAATGGGCTAGTAACTTTTTATACATTTGTTGCTTTAAAAACAATCTAAAATGTCAATATTCCATGGATATATTGATAAATGAGGTCTAAATTATAAGAAAATGCATTTTCTACGAAAACTTGAAGGGATAGGTAAAAAATGGTATAATACAATTTGATAGACAATTTAATAGTGCATCTGATTCTCCTAAAATATACAGGGCATTCCATTTAAATTAAAGAAGTTATTGCCGTTTGAAGCTAATAATTATTTAAAATAAATTTTAGACACTCTGTATAAGGTAGTATTATTATTTTATTATTGCAACACAATAACTATCAGTAAATAAACTTCAGTAAATATTTAGTATTAAAAACTTTGATACCCTTGGAGAAATGAAGCCTTAAAATTTTTACTGCAATTTCACAAAATTGAAAATATTTCAAAAACGGTAAGGTTTAAGTATAATAAACCTTAATCAAATTTACCTTTATTTTAATCGTAAAAACTAAAAATGTAATAATATACAGGGTGTTCCATTTAAAAAAATAAAACTTTGATATTTTTTATTTATTTGGGACACTCTGTATCTTGTAAACATATTTTTAAATTGTAGCTCTAATAGTCCTTCAACGAACCCCAAACTTACAATTTGTAAAAATCTCATCGTTTAGCTACAATACTCCGTGTCGTATGTGGTGAACAACCCTGTATACTTTCTTTGAATGTCATTACTTTCTGTCTTACATATCCAAATGTTAGAATATGACGCATATAAACAATTAAAATTGGTTTTATACAGGCTGTTCCTTAATGACATGCTAATATTCCTAAAAGTGTCCTAAACAAATTAACTTTTCAAATGAGGGTGGTAAAATTTTCTATTTTTTTTTCAAAATATCTCTGATGGTATATTTGATACACGTCTTCCATGCATCAAAATGCTTATTTTGTTATCCAAAAAAAATTGTTTTATTCCTTAATTTCCTTCCAGTCCATGCAGAATTGATTTCTACACAACACATTCACACCACATCATATTTTCAGCGATTTGACCCTGAAATAAACTGATTTTAATTTTTTTAAGCTAAAGCTGTGTAACGGACGAAAAAAATCAAGAGGAAAAATTTTTTTAGAAATATATGGAGATTTTGAAAATAATTTTTATTTTAAGAGAATTCAGTGGTGTACCACTTTTTTCTCCAAAAATATTCAATTTAAATCTCGTATGGACGACACTGGTCGAAATAAATAAAATTCTTTCTACACCAAAACGGGTATTTTGAGCATAGAAAACGTGTATCAAATTTCATAAAGATATCTGTAAAAAAATCAGAGTTATTATGATAAAAAGTCTTTTTTTAGAAAATTTTACCACCCTCTATCTCAGAAATTAAGATGTTTAGGACATACTTTTATATGAAGTTTTTCTCTTAGAATAGGTCCAAGAATAACACCCTTAAATATTACCATGTTATTAAGCAACACCCTGTATATAATATGTATACAGGGTGTCCCAGAAACAAGTGCAAGTATTTTAAGGGGGTAGATCTCGATAAAAGATAAAAGAAACATATTTTCTCTTTATCGTTTTTCAAATAAGTCCAAAATAACGGAGTTATTTTACTTTGAACATTTCAAAAAAAATGTTTTTTGCTAAAATTTTGAGAACCGCTGGATCTTTTCTGGATTTTTTTTCTTGTAAATTTAATCTACTACCTATGTTGCCATATTATCAACAAATTATGTTTTTTAACTAAAAACCAAAAAAAAATCCAAAAATTTAAAAAATTCCGAATTTTCAAAAAAAAATTCGTAAAAAATCTCATAGGCGCTTGAACCCTACTCGACCTGAAAATATTTGCATTTATTTAAGATTCTACCCCTGTATAATAGTTTTTTTTTTGTAATTTTCATACAAAATTTATAGGACTGGTGCTACAGTTCTTCTTTGGATATAATTACTTTCTGTCTTACCATATCCAAATGTTAGAATCATCATCATCATCATCGTCATCATTTTCAGCTTATTCAACTACTTCCAATTATGGTGTAGCTTCTCTCTTCTCTCACATATTTAGGTACTCTTTTTGTAGTTGGGCCCCATGTATGGCTTTGTATCGTGTTTTTTTAATGATGCATTAGTACGCCAATGGTATATTGAGAGTTTCTTGAATAGCGATTTTCAATTAATTTATAGGATTAGATACCGTATGATCGAAAAAAACGGCGTCAGCGATGGCTATGAAATGAAGATCGCTGTCATTTTATATGTAAATTTGTATAGGAAATGTCATCGATCGTTATTTCCCAGCCAACAGGACGCCATTTTTTTTCGAAAATATGATATCACTGTCAAGAAATTCAGCAACTCTAAATATACAGGGTGTCCCAGAAATAACTGCAAGTATTTTAAGGAGTGGTAGATCTGGTCAAAAGAAACATTTTTTCTCTTTACCGTTTTTCAAGTAAGTCCAAAATAATCTAGTTATTATTATTATTATTGTTAGTTAAATTTAAACAAAAAATGCTTTTTTGCTTAAATTTTGAGAACCGAACTGGATATTTTCTGGATTATTTTTCTTGTAAATTTAATCTACTACCTATGTTGCCATATTATCAACAAATTATGTTTTTTAACTAAAAACTAAAAAAAATCCAAAAATTTAAAAAATTCCGGATTTTCAAAAAAAAAATTCGTAAAAAATCTCATAGGTGCTTGAACCCTACTCAACCTGAAAATATTTGCATTTATTTAAGATTCTACCCCTGTATAATAGTTTTTTTTTGTAATTTTCATACAAAATTTATAGGACTGGTGCTACAGTTCTTTGGATATAATTACTTTCTGTCTTACCATATCCAAATGTTAGAATCATCATCATCATCATCGTCATCATTTTCAGCTTATTCAACTACTTCCAATTATGGTGTAGCTTCTCTCTTCTCTCACATATTTAGGTACTCTTTTTGTAGTTGGGCCCCATGTATGGCTTTGTATCGTGTTTTTTCAATGATGCATTAGTACGCCAATGGTATATCGAGAGTTTTCTTGAATAGCGATTTTCAATTAATTTATAGGATTAGATACCGTATGATCGAAAAAAAACGGCGTCAGCGATGGCTATGAAATGAAGATCGCTGTCATTTTATATGTAAATTTGTATAGGAAATGTCATCGATCGTTATTTCCCAGCCAACAGGACGCCGTTTTTTTTCGAAAATATGATATCACTGTCAAGAAATTCAGCAACTCTAAATATACAGGGTGTCCCAGAAATAACTGCAAGTATTTTAAGGGGTGGTAGATCTGGTCAAAAGAAACATTTTTTCTCTTTACCGTTTTTCTAGTAAGTCCAAAATAATCTAGTTATTATTATTATTATTGTTAGTTAAATTTAAACAAAAAATGCTTTTTTGCTTAAATTTTGAGAACCGAACTGGATATTTTCTGGATTATTTTTCTTGTAAATTTAATCTACTACCTATGTTGCCATATTATCAACAAATTATGTTTTTTAACTAAAAACCAAAAAAAAATCCAAATATTTAAAAAATTCAGAATTTTCAAAAAAAAATTCGTAAAAATCTCATAGGCGCTTGAACCCTACTCAACCTGAAAATATTTGCATTTATTTAAGATTCTACCCCTGTATGATAGTTTTTTTTGTAATTTTCATTACAAAATTTATAGGACTGGTGCTACAGTTCTTCTTTGGATATAATTACTTTCTGTCTTACCATATCCAAATGTTAGAATCATCATCATCATCGTCATCATTTTCAGCTTATTCAA